GTACCTAGTCCAGTATCTTCTCACATAGTATTCGTGATTTACAGCATTGGAACATTGGCTAGGTAAATTCACAAACTTTTCGCCAGCATCGTCAGTAAGAGGCGCGATCTTAAGCAAAGAGTTAAAACTTATCAAAGTGACAAGTGAAGGCAAGTGAGGGAAACCACGGAGATCCTCTAGAAGGGACTACATTTTTCATTGTATGCATAATACTTTCCAAAGTCGGACCCTGGACGTGGTGCATTTCTACTCTGGAAATGATCATGCATACAATGGACTCCGGACTAGGTGCGTTCCTCTAAGTCTTCCTACCAATATGGCCAAGTTGCGAAAACAAAGTTGAATAACCCATAATCAAAAAGAGGGCTGGAATTGAAAATCATCCCAATATTCTTGGCGCATCAAGAACTCACACATAGGGTCAAGGTAGCCAAGATATATGTAAAATTTAACAGAAACGATCGAATAGTCCTACAAGCAGACAAGGGATGTGTCACAGTGGTGATGGGCAAGAATGAATATACAAATAAAATGGAAAATATTATCGGGGACAACAACGTATCGACTAATAATAAAAGACACAACGGTTAAAGTCAGAAAGGCAGTGCAAGAAATTCTAAGGGAAGTGAATAGGTAAGGACAAATCGACAAATGGACAATGAACTCACTCATGCCTAAAGATTCCGAGGGTACACAAAGAGGGAGAACCATTGAGACCGATAATCAACAGCAAACATGTACTGACACATAAATCGGCGAAATTTATCTGCCTAAAATCAAATAAAGTTAATGATAGATTAGCGAATACAGCGAAAAACTGATACGAATTTTGCCAAAGAATCAAAGGCGCAAGGTTGGAAGGAAACGAACATTTGGTGAGCTTTGATGTACATTCCATGTACACCAACATCACGGGAGAAAAAGCCCTCACCGAACTACTGGCGATCTTGGAAAAATAAAATGACATCCTGCGGACAGAACGAATGCGTAGAGAGTCCCTAACCCGATTAATCAACCTAACAATAAGAACTACCTATTTCACATTCAGCGGCCGCATCTAAGAGTAAACATTTGCTCTGCCTATGGACTCACCACTTTCATCTTTTGAAGGCTAATGTATTCATGGACAAGTTGGAGGAGAATTTCACAATGTTACCTCAGCAGCCAACAATAATTATGCGAAATTTGGATGACTATTTTGCAATTCGGTCGCATGGAAGAGAAAAATTAGACAATTTCCTGATCTTCATAAACGAGATGGATAAAAAAGTCAAAGTTACCATGGATGTGGAAAAAAGCGAACACTTAACATTCTTGGATGTGGAGGTCATTCGCTGCGAGAAAGCTCTCAAGAAAAAACTTTTCTGAAAGAAATCGCATGCTGGAATAACTCTTAACTTCCAGTCGAACCATACATATGGGATGAAGAATGGAATACTCCGGAGTATGATCATAAGAAGCTCACGACTTACTGATTCTGAGTTCTGGGAAGAGGAACAGGGAAAACTAACTCAGACTGAGACTATGAAAGGAAAGCAAGAGGAGCAGAAGAAAAATTATGGATATGTCTACCCTCCTGCGAATTGCTTGAAAGCTACGGTCAATACTAGGGAAAAGGAACATTCGTACGATGCTGAAGGAAAGAACAACCCTATTCATCAGCTTGCCCACTCTACATGAAGAACTCAACAAAATGGAGTGCTTTGCAGTTTACAGCATAAACTGCAAGGACTGTGAACAAAAATAAATCGGAGAGAAGGGAAGGACAATCAGCACATGGATTAAAGAACACCAGCGAATAAGCAGAAAAATGGATAAGGAAAGATCGGAGATAGCTAAACACATCGTCATTACCGGACACACAATTGACTAGAATGCAACGGAAATATGAGGAAGATATCAGGAAAACAAAGATCAGGGAGGCTGTGGACATACTCTTTCAAAGAAACTTGATGAACAGAAGATTGGAAGAGGAACGAGTCAGCGATAATTTTGCGTACTGCCAGAGCATACTTGGGGATTCAACAAAAACATTAAGAAGACGCCTGGACCCAGGACACCTGTTCAATAACAGGAAGAGACATTACTAATGGCGGCTCATGAGGAGCACAGATAAGTCACGAAAAGGCAACTGAAGTGAGAGTAGTCAGGCATGGAATTGGGCAAAAATTCACCCAGGGGTTCATCTGCGAGATGTAGAATATGAAATCAAAGGCTAAAGGTAAAGGGGGGCTAGATTAAAATCAACCGTGTGCGTGCATGAGTGTCGTGTGTAATTTTCGAATCTGCGTCGGAAGGGGAGGTGAATGAGGACAGGCTTGACCATGGGGGATACCAACCAATAGACACATTTATATCATCTCAGTACCCTAGGATTAGATGGGAATGTCAACTTGAGAGACCAGAGGAGTGTGTTTTTCGCGATTCAATGGGAAAAGGGAAGCGGTGCATTCTCAGGCCAGCGATTTTCACTTAAGCTGGACAGATGGCACCAAGGAATGAGACACAATGTGGTTGGGGATGAGGGAGAGGATAATCGAATCATTGGTTTGAAGCTTAGGGAGAGGAAGATTCACAGGCACTGACATGTGCATGGGCATGGACATGTGCCTCATCTGGTCTGACTCCCCGAATATGGCGTAATCGAGGACGGGAGTGGAAGGTTCCTAGGCAGTCACATTTCAGTGAAACAGTGATTTGTATAGAGGTTGGTTGACCTTGTTTTCGCAACTTGACCATATTGGTAGGAAGAACGCACCTAGTTCTGAGTTTATTGTGTGCATAATCATTTCCAAAGTCGGACTTTGGACGTGGTACTTTCCCAGACGTTTCGCCGGCATCGTAGTGAGTCTCGTCATTTGTAGTATCATAGTACAGCTCGTCAAAGAGACAAGTCTTGCCTCTCAATGACGATGGCGACTACGATACCGGCGAAACGTATGAAAATGTATCCAGCTCCGAATATTATGGCAAAAGTAGACTGCGACCAAACAGAAGGCAAGACCATCTTGGTCTTCATATCTACAATGAATTACCTTTGATAGCTTACGCTAATATAAGACTGATATTTGAATACCTCATGGCGTAAGGAGCCCAAGAATTGATCATTATATTTCGTTTCACTTAGCTTTCCTTTACCAAAGGCCTCCTAATCGAGGATAGACAGGTATTACTAACTCGCCTATGTCTCATGCATATCAAACGCTATTTCAACGCGATCGTGTACATCAAATAACACAGGTGCAATTGGGTTGCAGTGTAGATGGGACTTTGATGGAAAATCAGGTCTCTCTTATCGAAGATATAAAGACCAAAATGGTGGGGCCTTTTGTGTGGTCGCAGTCTCCTTTCGTTGTATAGAATTTGTTTGACCTTGATTTCGCAACTTGGTCATATTGGTAAGAAGACTTAGAGGAACTCACCTTGTCCGGAGTCCATTGTATCCATGATCATTTCCAAAGTCGGACCGTGGACGTGGTACATTCCCAGACGTTTTGTTGGCATCGTAGTCGGCATCGTCAGTGACTTTTGCCAGTCTTAGCAACATGCAACAACTCGTCAAAGAGACAAGTGAAGCTAATCCTCTGACCAAATGTGTTCTAAACAGTTGTGGTATCTCTTCATCTGTCATAGGCTATTCACATTTCCTATATCCTCCTATCACGTCTTCACTATAACCATTTTTCCCTTGCTTATTTAAATCTAGTGTGGTGTGCCCTTTTGAGCGGTATTCCTGAGAATCCTCCACACTCCACACTGGCGATCTCACCCCACCCCCTTCACCCTTTGGCAAAGCTTGAGGAACACTTTTTTCGGAGGCACTACTTATTCCACAAATTGTTGATCACACAAATGGATGACTATCTTGTCGTCTGGCCTCATAGTAAAAGGAGCTTAGATAACATTGTTAGAGGGGCCTTCATTTCGGATGAAAGTGCATAAAGAAGAGATTCATTAGTCGATCTTACCAGATAGGTTCCTACTTTCACTTAAGCAACGTGGAAGGAACATTAGGTTTACAATCAAAATAAAAGAAAATAGGTCCTTGCCTTTTCCGGACGCTCTGGTTATTAGAAAAGAGGGTAAAATAGGAAGAGATGTTTATAGGAAACGAATATATTTTGGTGCATTTCAGAATTTCCTTTCTAACCATAGTTACAAAACGAAGGTTGGAATTTTAAAGATAATCATTATTAGGAGTGTGATACTAGAGGATAGTAACAATCTGACTAAAGGGTTAGAGCGGCTGAAAGATTAATTGTTTGAAAGTAAGTATCCTTTGGGCCTAATTGTTAATAATATTCTCTTAAGTGATGAATTAATTTTCAGACTGTGACTATTTAGTCAAATATAGACATGTCAAGACCTTTCCTCATGACCTAATTTTGCTGCCATGCTTTCCTTTTAAGAATGTAGGCAGGGAGATAAAAAAAAGTGACCAAAGAAACCCTTACACTTTTTTATATTATGTCCTCTTTTAGAGGAGAATATGGCCCAGATCTTGTTGCTATAAGATTGTATTCTCCTGGAGTCGAATTCATGTTGATGAGACATTTTGACCTATTCTAAAAAGATTAGATGAACAGAAAAATGCTTGTAATTTTAGATGGATCTAACCGTTATAAATGACGAAACACATGAGAAAAACTGAATATAAGGAAGAATGATCACAAAAGAATAGATTTGTTGATTATGGTACATCTTCGATTGAAAGGAAGCTAAGAGATACGAAGAGAAACTGGGTTTCACTGAGTCTCTAGAAATGACATTGTTGGGGGACTTTCATTTCGTATCAAAGTGCATGAAGAAGAGATTCGTAGGTTGATCTCACAAGAAGAGGACGGTTGAATCTCGTTGTACTGCAGCCGTTTGGCTTTTATACGACGTTCAAATTGACACGGTCCATGAGACCTCCTCCCTCGTTTCAGGGGAAAACGGGCTGAGCTCAACCAGTGTGAAAGGAATATTAGATTAACAATGGAAATGGAAGTCTTTACCTTTTTTGGATGTGTTCATCATTAGAGAAGAGGGTAAGTTAGGAAGGAATGTTTATAGGCATCCAACATATGTTGGCTCTGCTGTATTTTCTTTCCAAGCATAGTTAAAAGACTATGGTTGGCATTTTGAAGTCAATTATTATTAGAAGTATGAGCCTAGCGGATAGCAAAGATTTGACTAAAGAGTGGAAAGACTGACAACTTTATTCCCGGAAAATAAAGATCCTTTGGGCTTTATTGAAAATAATATATATCTACCGGGGAATAACTTTTCAAACGGAGACCATTTAGTCAAAGATACATATACTGAAACCTTTTCCCATACCGTAATTTTGCCGTCATGCCTTCTCTCAAAAAGATAGGTGAATTAGTAAGAATGTAGCGCATAAAAACAATGTTCAAAGAAGCCCTCACATTTATTCTGTTATGCAATCTTTTAGAAAGAAATATGACACTTTATCGAGATCCGGTTGCTACAAGATTGTTTGTTCAGGTGGTCGATGTTATGTTGGTGAGACATGCCGACCTTTTTGACAAAGATTGGGAGAACCCAAAATGCTTGTAAAGGAAATCCAACGGTCAGAATTGGCTGAACACATGGTAGAAACTGGACACGAAATATAATGGTCTCAAACTAGTTGTTTTGCTTATTACGGTACGTCTGTGGTTAAAAGAACGGCTATTAAAATTAATAGCTTAGAAAATACATTGAATCTGAAGAACG